AGCCTTTAAATCATCCTCGATCTGTAACAAGAGATAGAGGCGGAAACAGGATTTAAAGTTTATGCGTTTTGAATTTGCAATCGAACCCATAGCTCGTTGGTTACTGGGTTCGCAATTAAGTATTAATACATATTTAATGAATTTTCTAGTACAAATATATCGTCTAAGCAAAAAGTTACTAGGTTCGTCCGAACTGGTTCAAGATAATGAAATCAGTAGGGAATATGAACGAACCCACTTGAACTAACACATCTTCAATCACTCCTTCAGGATGAGCAAGGGAGCGATCAACCAACTGTAAGATTACTGTTGTTGCGCGCGGCTCACCCAACCCCAACTATCTGAACACAGATAGCAACATCAAATTGATGCTCACTCCAAGATCACATAACGTTCGCCTAACTGCATGTTTACCAATTGAGATTTGGATAGTGAAACTACCCGGATCCTTCAATTTCTGAGGTAGCTTGCTTTGAATTCTTGAGCCACATTCCTCATTGAGTGCCACAGTCTCGAACTCGGTCAACCTCCTTTTATTGGCCACTACGTCCTTGATGTATTTTGCATATTTGGGTACTTCTTGCAGGATGTCTACCAGTGGAATATTAATTTGCACCCACTTCAAAATATTGAGAAACTTTTTATACGCGGCACTATCCTTCAATTTCTGCAATCTTTGAGGGAACGGAGGTGATGGCCTCTCAACCAATGGTGGGGTTTGCTTAGCCACAGCCTCTTCGGCTGGCTTCTCTGACTCTTTTGATTTTTCTGATTCTGACAATATAGTGGCCGGATTCTCATTAAAGGTTACTTGTTTTCTCTTTTTCAACTGGACTTCTTCTAACTGTCTCCCATTCCTTAATGACACAACATTAATAGATGCCTTAGGATTAGCCTTAGTATCGTTGGAAAGAGCTCCAATTGGTCGAGTATTTTGGGAACTAGCAAATTGTCCCATTTGTCGCTCCAAATTTCTCATTGCTGCGGCTTGGGCCTGCTGGCCAGCCATCACTTTCTTCATCATGATGTGTGGGCTTGCTGCTTAGCCATCTTCTTCATCAGTTCCTCAATGTGACTTGTTGAGTTTGCATTTTGCTCAGCTTGAGGTGGTCTATATTGTTGTTGAGGTGCTTGTGGTCAATATTGATTCTTAGCACCTTGGTTTTCACCCCAAGAGAAGTTTGGGTGGTTCCTCCAGTTAGGATTGTAGGTGTTCCCATACTGGTTTGTCTGGCCCCTATATGCATTACCCACAAAATAGATTAACTGGGTATAAATCGCTCGTATGACCCTCGCCACATACTTCTCAAAACAATTGAACCTATTGCACTGGTTGAGCTTGTTGCTTGTTAATAACCAAGGTCATTTGATTGACTTAGTTTGTCAATGTGGAAATCTGCACTGGTAATGCCGAGACGACATCTAACTCGAGAACCCTATAGATTTTTACAATTTGTGTCTGCCCATCTCTCCTTGCCAATCAGGATTGCTTTTGGAGAATTTGTTCAACAACGCATATATCTCATCAAAGCTTTTCTCCAACACTTGACCTCCAGCTGTAGCATCTACCACAATCTTTGTCTCAGGATATAGCCCTTCTATGAATGTGTGAGCTAACACTTCATTTGTCTGATTGTGATGAGGACAGTCTCTTAGCAACCCCTTAAACCTCTCCCTAGCTGAGTATAAAGACTCCCCCGATTTCTATTTGAATGCGACTATCTCACTTCTGATCTTTGCACTTTTGCCTAAAGGAAAGAACCTTGCCAGGTCATTCCATGATGTAATAGAATTAGCTGGTTCTGCCTTCGGCCATCACTTTGCTTCGTCCAACAGAGAGAACGGGAAAAGTGTGAGCCTCACATAGTCTGGAGTGACTCCGTTAGTGATGTAAGTATCACTAATCTCCAAGAAATTCAGGATATCTGTTGTGGATCCTCGTGTGGAAGACCCATTAACTGCCCATTCACATGAGGTAGCTGGATCATGCTCTGTTTTAGCTTAAAGTGCCCAGTGATTCTGGGCTTCACAATGCTAGAGGTAACATTAGCAATGTTGGGCATAGCCATCTCCTGAACAACCATACGTTGCTCCTCTTCCATGTTCACAGGAAATTGAACAAGTGCATGAAGATTATTTGTATCATTTACTTCCCTCAACCTCCTATGAAATGTTCTCTCAGGTTCGGGATCAAATCCTTAAAGTCTGTCCTGGCTTCTGACCCTGCGCATTCAATCAAAGTTCCTGAGATCAGAGTAACAATCAAGTAATGTTAGACTTGACGAAATAAACAATGAAAGCAAAAACTAGAGAGTAGTCAATATTCAAGTCCCCGTCAATGGTGCCAAAAACTTGTTGCTCCCAAATGCACATGCAAGTATACGTGGTCGTGCAAATAATAAAATGATAAGTCGAGTGTCGAACCCACAGAGACTTGTATCAAGTATCCACTAAATTCACCAAGATTGTTATTCAGTTGAGCCAATTTGAGTTCAAGAGTTTAATTATACTAAACTATAATTCTAAGTAGTAACTAAATTATCAAGCAATAAAACAGTTGTTGTGTATTCAGTAGAGACAAATATTCTAGGGTTGTGATCAATTCACCAATCCTATTATATTCTAGTTAACTTTCCCCTTCATACAATTCACTCATGGTTGCTAATTAATCGAACAATTGCTCTCATAGCCTTCTTTCGAAGTACTACTCGCTTATTCAAAATAGATTAATGCCTATATTCCTATGAAATCAATTTATTAAGAACGCATTAAGATTAAGATATTTAATTAAGCATGGTGACTAGGTATATTCCTATCCTAACCACAAATCCGCCTCCCTCCCAGAGTTAAGATCGTGCTCTCTTTAATTCTTCTCTAATCTAAACATGGCTTTCCCAAGCATAGCATAAATAGGAAATAGAACCTAACTGTTGGACAGAAAATTAAGCAATTAATCACAAAATTGAAGAAACAACCATATATTGGTGAATTATAATCAAGGTTAAGTCGACATTAAATATCAATATTCATGGCTAAATCACAACCCTAGAACTATGGGTTTTAGCCACTCTTGATAGTATCAAACAAATTCATAAGTGTTGGATAATTAAAAATACTAAGAAACGATGAAGAAATCTGAGATATCCTTGCTCCGGGATGTTCCTCGTGTGTCTCTAGGTCTAAAGTGTGTCCAAAGTTCAAAAAATAACATTTTCCATGTATTTATACCAAGTAGGGTCGGACCAAGACAAAATCTCCTTTTCCTAGCTGAAATAGGAAAACTTGCAAACTTATTGTTTTTCATGCGTTGCCCAGTGCGTCACACTAATGCCTTTTGATGTCAGACCACAAAAAACCCAGCCTCTGAACTTTAGAGATTTCTGACAAAACTTTGCATAATGCGTCGCACAGCGCCTCGCACTAGTGCATTTCTTCAGCAGTTGCTTCTTCCTTGAATTTTGACGTCCAGAATTAGTTCTCGACCCCCGAAAACGATCCAGGCTTCAACCCTTGAGCTTGTACTCAAACTTCAAAGTTCCACATAGCTCGAATTAGTTCCAAAGTTCAGAAAATAATATTTTTCCTTGTATTTATACCAAGTAGGGTCGGACCAAGACGAAATTTCCTTTTCCTAGCCGAAATAGGAAAACTTGCAAACTTATTGCTTTTCATGCGTCGCCCAGTGCGTCTCACTAATGCCTTTTCCTGTCACACCACAAAAAATACAGTCTCTTAACTTTATAAATTTCTGACAAAACTTTGCATTAATGCGTCGCACAGTGCCTCGCATTACCCACACTAGTGCATTTCTTCAGCAGTTGCTTCTTCCTTGAATTTTGACGTTAAGAATTGATCCTCGACCCCCGAACACGATCCCGACTTCATTCCTTGGGATTTTACTCAGACTTCAAAGCTCCACATAGCTCGAATTAGTACCACAACATCTCCATAACACAGAATCACTCCTACAAGGCATAAAACACACAATAAGTGAAAAACACTAGCGATTAAAGATCAAACACAATAAAGGTGCAGTAAATTAGAGTGCGATAAGCGACTAAAATACGCAATTATAGCCTACCATCAGAATCCCACATCGACAAAATACGGGAGAGATGTTGGCTATATAAGTAGACATGCCTTAGACTCTAGTGGCGCGTTTTAAAGTCGTGCGGGCCTAGGCCCGAAGCGGACAATATCACTAGTAAGTTAGGCTGTTACATATGATATTTGAGTCACTCCGCATGCAACCTTGAACGGTGGTAGGGAAAATCCATGAGGGGGTGTATATGACACCCTAGGCGAATTCCATATCGATAAAATACGTGAGAGATGCTGGGTATATAAATAGACATGTCTTAGACTCTACTGACGTGTTTTAAAGCCGCGCGAGCCTATTTCCAAAGCGGACAATTATACTAGTGGATTGGGCTGTTACATATGATTATAATCCCGAATCCATAAGGTTTAAATCCTAGCTNCTTCTATTGAAGATATATGGGGTGCTAACTATTTAAGTTTTAATCCCACTATATTTTCAAATACAGCAATTTTAGTTCCCTTGAGAGGAGAACCCTCTATTAATTTCAGCATACATGATTCTGATTCTCCTACTCCTGATTTTTTACCAACACAAATGGTAGAAAAATTATCCAAAAACCTGAAACTAAAGAAACTTTACATTTCAGTGTCAGTTGTTGGTTTTTTCCTGTTTGCTGCAACTTTAGTTGCTTGTGGTTTATATATAAGGGCCATAAGGAAATTCAAGGCAGAGAAAAATCGTTCTTCGATACATAAAAGCTCTGTTACTTCAGGTTCAACACCAAGAAATTCCCCTCCAATGACTACTAGAAGTTCCACGAATTTGTGCTTATCACCTGATTTACTTGCAGNGTACTTCTCTAAATGATTCTTGTCAAACATTCTTGATCTATAGAACTAATCAAGATTTCACAACAATATCTGATGTTTCTTACTTGCTTGGTTTTTCTCCAGATGTACTACTCACCTTAAACAATGTCACTTCGTCGTCGCAGATTCTTGAAATTGGTAGAGAGGTAATTGTTCCAATTCAATGTTCTTGTTTAGGTGAATCCTTTCAAGCTAATATTAGCTACCNTATGGAGAGGATGACATTTCAGGATCTTATCTTGTGTTTGAATATTCATCAAATGGAACATTAAGGGATTGTTTGTCAAACTCCTTAGCTTCTCTTAGTTGGCATAAAAGAACTCAAATTGCCTTTGACATTGCCAGAGGGTTACATTACTTGCACTTTTGCACTATTCCACCTTATACACACATGAACATAAATAGCAAAAATATCTTCTTGACTCCGAATTGGAGGGCAAAGCTTGCTGTTTTTGGAGCGAAGGTTGTCATTGGAACGACAAAGAAAATTGGAAGTATTGGAAGTCTCGGAGGCTGGATTGCCCCCGAGCATCTAGTACATGGCTTAGTGTCTGAAAAAGTGGACATTTTTGCATTCGGGGTAGTATTAGTCGAGCTGATATCGGGAAAAGAAGATGTTGATGGGAATTTTTTGAGGTATTCAATTACATTTTTGAGAGGGGAAGCTAATGAAGGAGGATGCTTCGAACAGTTGAAATTTTTCATTGATCCATGCCTTAGGGAAGATTACCCTTTAGCAGAAGCATTATGTTTAGTTGTTTTAGCTAAAGCTTGTATTGAAGATGATCCTCTTCATAGGCCATCTATGGATGATATAATTAAAGTTCTTGCTAGAATGGTATGATTTTATTTAGCCGAGGGTCTACATTTAGGTGAGGATCGATAGGACCTCCACAAGATAAGTGTAAGATCTGTGTACGTACTAGCTTCCACAGACCCCACATGTGGAAATACAATGAATATGTTATTGTTGTTGCCAAAATGGTATGATTTCAAAAATATATTCCATTCATCACCATATGCAATGTTAGTAACATCAATTAATTGTACTTGCCCTAGTCAAATATTAATTGTCTCTTTGTAGCTACAGTTTTCACTAGATCTATGAATTCTTGCTTTCAATTTGTATTCATTTTAATAAATCCTACTTCCTTTCCATCACTAAGGTACAGTAAGGTAGTTCGCATCTTCACAGACATGTCGTCTATTTCATCGAGCCTCTCTCCGAGACAGTGCACATATCGTTATGTCTTTCGTGCGGATCGAAACTTACCCGATAAATAATTTCGCTAGCTTAGGACAATTATAGTTACGTCCGTCTTTCAGCGGAGCGACCTCCATTATTCCTAATATGATTTCTAATCAAGAAAGATTAAACACATGATTTTTAGTAACATTTCAAGGGAATGTTACTAATGGAACATGTAGGAATAATAGGTCCTATTACTCAATATATATTCATTGATCGATCTTTATAGTGTTTGTTGAATTATTCTTGTCAAACATTTTCGCTTTCAGATTAAGGTCTAAATTTCTAAATTAAATAACCCTAATATCATAGCCAAAAAAATAAAGTAAATAGACCTCTATGCATATGGTAAGATATAGTAAAAATTATATTCCTTGCACTGTCAGTAATATACGTTAAATCATCTGATTTTTGTAATAATGCAAATTATGCTTTGTTGAGCTTAATAAAACTTGTGTTTTATTAAGGAAACTTTACCAATAGAACGTTGCTTATAGAGAGGAATGAAGTATAGATTCTAAACTTGTACTTTGTTATGGAAACTTTACCAATGGAAGGTTGTTTATATAGAAGAATAAATTAAAGTAGCATTAGTGGAAATAGAAATGTGAAATTGACCAAGAAGATCTATAGCTGGCTTTGACCACAAGAATAATGTGAAGAAGTTTTCAAGCTATATTTGAGTAGCTGAGCAGGTTTGAAGTATATGTTGTTTCTATTAGTTAAAAAACATAGGATAATTAATAATAGCAAATAAAATGACCACCGACTATTTCCATGATTTTTCCTAGTGCAAATTATATTCAATGTTTAATCAGAATCGTTTGTTGAAAAGGACCGTTTGTAATTTTTTTTTGTCTAGTTAGATTTATTAATCTCATGTCATTATGTTGTTGCACCACTGTCAGGGTTCATGTTTATGATGTTGGGATAGAATATAAAAATAAAATAAAAAAACGAAAAAATAGAGTTTATCATTATACGAGTGAGAACACTATTGATTCTCCTAACCGGGGAGGGGGTTAAATTTCACAAATGGTCATATAACTATGACTCTTTTTTTACCAAAGCCATATAACTTTATTTTCTCACACAAAAATCATATAACTATGATCTTTTTCACTAAAGTCATACTATAACTTTGTTTTCTCACACAAAAATCGTAATACTTTCACTAACGCGCACAAAAATCATAAAACTTTCACTAACTCACACAAAAATCATAATGGTGAGAAAACAAATTTTCGGTAGTATTTTCTTTTTTGACGTTTTTTTATTTTTTATTTTCAGTCTAATAAATAATTACCCAACTGCACCCAAAAAGATAGCCGATAAAATATTTTTATATATATATATATGTGTATTATACACATATAATATACACATTCTATATATTTTGGCTAGCAAATGCAATTAGTTTCGGCCAACCGGTTAATTTTATATTCTTCCTTAAAATAGGAATGATCCAACCCAGCCTGACCCAATACCCTTATACGTAAGTTAAAATAATACTAAAAGTGAATTCTTTCCCCGTAAAAATCTTAGTTCGGAATGCATGAGATTCTGACAAAAAAATAAAGAAATAAAAGGTATAATTAGCAAGCTAAAAATGCTATCAATTTGAAAAAATAAAATAAAAGATAGAAGTTGTATGGGTCTAAATTTGCCTTCAAGAAATTTAAAATGAAGTGGCATTACGAAAAGTAATATGGCCGAGGTCAAGACCTAAACAGTGGGGGTTATAGCCGAGCAGTCGATAACGGCCGAGGTCAAGCATCGAAGGCGGCAGTAGCAGCTAGTTTTGTAATAGGATCGTTAGAAGAATATTTCAGTGAATATTCTTTGTACCTGTATTTTTAGGGTTGACTAGGGGTATGTCCCATATAAAAAGAAAGAGAGATAAGGTGAAAGACATGTAATATTCTCTTATAAGAACACTCTTGAAAAGCAGATTCTCTCTAGATAAATATAAACAACACCTATTTGGAGATATTCGTTTTGGTTGATTGTTCTATACTTTTTCCATCAGATCCGAGAAAATCTCCGATATTCTTATATTTGTTTGTAATTCATCATCGTAGGAAGGAAAAATCATCTACCTCATTCAATATTGGATGAATTATTCTCCTTATTTACTATAGTGTCATCTATTGTTATTTAATGCTTGACATTCCTCTCCCATTATTGACATAGAAACATTAAATACATGTTGCATTTATTCTCTCCCAACATTGTTCAACATCATCCAGCTAGACTGATTATAAATCTGAAGTTATTATTATTAACTAGGTTTAACCCCCCATTATATAAAATTAATTAGTTCAACCAAAGGATTATATTTTTTTGTCAAACAATTTGGCGCCGTCTGTGGGGATTTCCTAGTTAAAATTTTAGTTTCTTCTAGATCTATAACTGGCAAAAAAAAATGCAGAACCCCCTACTCTCTTGTACACACAGATCTAACATGGCAGGTAACAGAGAAGAAAGGATGAAGGCAGTGGCCGATCTCACCACCAATCTCTTAAACACCATCAACGAGGTTTCAGACACGGAGGGTAAAGATGTAACGTCGGACGGCTCTCCCAGGTGAAGTGGCCCGCCCCTCCCTCATGATAGTATCACAATGTCCCACAGTAAAGGGGCTTCCACGTCTACAACGGAAGAGGCGCCACCAGCAATGAATAAATTACTTGAGGCTTGGTTGACAAGCACGCTACATGCCCGCCCAAAAAGCAACCAGAGAGAATGCGAGGACCTGCGTTGCACCAATAGCGGCTGAGCAGCACGGCCTCCCCCTCCAATAACAGGTATCACTCACAATGTTAGTAATATAGGTGACGACACCCTCACAACCATTATGAGGAATATAAAAAAAATGGAAACGAGAACAAAATGCTACTAGACCAAATGAAGGAACATCAATAAAGGGTAGACAAAATATCGGGTGCCCCAAAACTCTTACCAAAAATAGATGTGGGTCGGTTCGTGGAACAACCCTACATTGAGAAGCCGACCAGTATGCCATACCTAAGACCTTCAAAATTCTACCCTACCTACAAATATACGATGACACAATCGACCTTAAAGATTATGTGACTCACTACGTCACTGCGGTAAAGGGGAGCGACCTCGCCATAGAACAAGTATCCTACTTCCTGTTGAAAAAGTTTGGTGAAACCCTCACCGGAGGCGCATTAACTTAGTATTCGCAGCTGCTCGCATGCTCCATTGAAACCTTCGAGGAGATGGCCAACAAATTCGTAACGGCCCATGGTGGAGCCAAAAAGGCGGAGGCAAGAGTGAACGATATATTTGTTATAAAACAATCACCTGGAGAGGGACTGAGGGACTTCCTTGCTCGATTCAACCGTGTGAGGATGACCTTACCAAATGTATCAGAAGGCATGGCTGTAGTAGCTTTCCAAAACGGGCTGAACAGAAACGGGTCGAGGGCGACTAGAAAGTTGTTGAGTTGGCTTATGAAATATCCCCCAACCACTTGGGATGAATTATATAATGCCTACTGTGCCGAAGTCCATGCGGACGAAGACGACCTAAATGCACGAACCCAACAGTTAACATCGGTACAGGGCGAGTCCAGGAAAGACTGAAGAAACGATGCCACAAGAAACGATGCCAGAAGAGATCTAGCAGCTCCAAGACCCAACCGAGAAAGACATCAACCATATGTCATGGGTGCCTTCATGACCCCCTCCCGTCCTGAAGAAGGTTCATCTAGGCCAAGGACAGGGACTCACCGGAGCGAGAGAGGTATGCCCCCTTTGCTATCTGCTCACAATTTTGTGTCTGGCCTTCAGAAATAGTGTACGCATTGGAGAAACTCGGCCCAAAAGTGAAGTGGCCGCAAAAATGAGGTCTGATCTAAGCACCAGGAAGTCCAATGCCCTCTGTGAATTCCACCAAGAGCGAGGTCATAAAACAGAGGACTGCAAGGCAGAAGGTCATGAACATGCTTCACCAAGGGCACTTGAAAGATCTGTTGAGCGATCAAGGAAGGGCCAACATTGCCCGAGGACGTGAACAACACCAGGGGCCACAAAAACCACCTTCACCAACTCGTACCATCCAAATGATCATCGGAGGCGGTGACGATGCATCAATCAATAGCGTAAAGTTCATCACGATCCACAAACTCAAACGGTCGATCACTCACGAACGGTATGACGAACTCGAAGAAAGTATCATCTTCGATAAGTCGAATACCCACGGTTTGTTTTTCCCTCACTATGATGCTCCGCATATTAGATACAGATGTAAAACATATTATGGTGGACGATGGAACGATGCGTGAATTATCCACCCTCGAGTGCTTGCACAGATGAAACTCGAGGATAAGATATTGCCACGCTGCATCACGCTAATCAGTTTTAACAATGCAGTTGAACGAATATCCGGAGAAATCACACTCCCCGTTCTGGCTGGCAGCGTCACTCTGGAAACCATATTCCATATCATGGACCAAGATACGACATATAACACCATAATAGGTCGACCCTAGATACACGCCATGAAG